ATTTATTTCAGTTTTAAATTCTTTTCTGTCCGTTACTGCATTTCTTGGAAATGCTTTGATCCTGATGGCTCTTCACAAAGAGTCTTCACTTCATCCGCCGTCCAAACTCTTGCTTCGAAACCTTGCAACAACTGATCTCTGTGTTGGTCTAATTGCAGAACCTCTTTATGTTAGCAGCCGGATTTCTGCATTGAATGAAAACTGGAGTATGTGTCGCTACATATCGATGGCAGGCTTCATAACAGGCAATATTTTGTGTGGGGTGTCACTGTTTACTCTAGCTGCAATAAGCGTGGACAGACTTCTCGCCCTGTTGTTGGGATTGAGATACAGACAAGTTGTAACATTAAACCGAGTCTATGTGGTCGTTGTTACCTTTTGGTTTGTGTCCACGGTTTATTCAGCAGTGTACATTTGGAATCCCCTTATAACCTTTTGGTATGGCACCATAGGTGTACCACTGAGTCTTATAACCTCGATTTTCTCTTATACAAAGATTTTTTGCAGCCTTCGTAACCATCAAAATCAAATTCAAGACCATGTTCAACAACCGAACCAAACAAATCAATTAAACATAGCACGATACAAAAAGGCAGTGTCCACTGCAATATGGCTGCAACTGACGCTGGTCGCTTGTTATCTACCCCTTGGTGTAGTGACAGTTTTGAAGACTAGTGGTGGAAGATCTTTATCTCTCTATAACGCTTGGTGTTATGCAGTCACTCTAAGTTACTTAAACTCTTCATTAAACCCAATTCTATACTGTTGGAAGATAGAAGAAGTCAGACAAGCAGTAAAGAACACAACTAGACAAGTGCTTTGCAATTGTTTTTCCGCTTAGATGTTGTTGACTTATACGATAAAAAGATAACAAAGTTCATGAGGTTTAAAGATAAAGATTTGTGAAATTGTCGAAAAGATCGCCTAAAATCACACGGTGTTACAAGATTCTGTAGCAGTAGCGTAGTCGTTAGGGAAATGTTTCAGCATTGTTTTAAATAAAGTTTGGTTTCTGTAAATCCTGTAAATTTACAATTGCAAATAAAGAGATGAAAAAAATTTCTTCTCCTCGTGGACTACGCAAAATGTTGACAGCAGTCGCCACGAGTTTAGCCCCATTCTAGTTTTTCCATGATTTTCCTTCAGCCTTTCTTCCAAACTCGACGGATTTACACAAAATGATGATTTGTTATAGGTTCTTAGGTGAAATCTGCTCACGAGCCAAGTGGCCCATCAGCCAACCGACGCTTATCTCCGGTTTCTTTAGCATGAAGCGACCAGGACTGAGTATTTCTACTTAAGATACATTTTGCTCGTTCTAAAGGTTATTACCTAAAAGGGAAGGAAAGCAATGTATTTTTCCCTCGTTTTAAAGCATGGTACCCAAGAGGAGGGGAAAGCAATGTATATTTCCCTTGTTTTAAAGCGTGTTCCCTCATTGGAACAAAAAGCAACATATTTTTCCCCAGCAATGACTAGCTCTGTACGTAGAGAGATTAATGAGGGATGCTGACTTAAATGAAGGGACAAGACAACCTGGCCAGGCAAGCCAAAGCAGTCAGCATGCTGCAAACACATTTTTAATTTTTGATATAATTTATACCATAAACATTCGCATAGGGGGCCCAATTTGGTTGAAAATTATGGGATCATCTCAGAGTATGGAAGTGTATGGAAGCAATTCACATCTGATCTATGGACAAACATTAGGAGTGAGCCTTCATCTCTGATTAAAAGTGATAAATAAAGACGATTTTCCAGACAAATTAAGTTTCGGAAATTGCAGGTCAACTGTCGCCATCGCCATGACAAACTACAAAATTTCATCATATTTCATAAGACTGCTGCTCAACTTTTCCCTGGGAAAAACGGTTAATTTTATTTTTAGTCTTTTTTTTTCCACATTTAAAGACCGAACAATAGCAAATTTACAAAGCCAAATTTTGTCATTGGAGCCTACATCCATGAAGTTGAATAAAGATGACATTAGAAGCTTCTGGCACACAGGAAGCACGTTTCATTTGGATTGTCAGTGAATGTAAATTGAGTTCAAAACAGATGGTTAATTCTTTGTTTTCTCTGCATCATTCATTTGCATGCAGAGTTTTTAGCGGAGCTCCGGCGGCCCGAAGGGCCGCCAAGCGGAGCCCCATACTCATATAGGAAAAGAAAAAAAAACCCATGAGTTGATTTCTCATGGTTATCATGGTTAGCGGTATTGCTCGTGGGCGCGTACGTACGACAGCGACGACGTCGACGGAGTCGCGCAACATGGCGGCCATACTCCAAATAATAGGTTGACAGAGACATGGAGCCTCGGTTTACCGTGTACTTCTTTGATATTGGACATCCATGTTACGATCAATTGACACCTGCCAAAACAAGGTATCCGCTGACCAGAATCACGTGACCATATCGCGGGCTCAAGTTTATAGCTCATCGAGGCCGCGTGTTTTTTAGAAGTTGAGCGCTAACCAAGTGCTGGTTTTCGATTGTATCGCGGGCTCATCTCAGGTTAACTTGCTGAAAACAGGGCAGGATTGTTCGGAAGCCAGTTAACGCTAACCCAGGATTAAAAGATAACCGAATTATAACTTTTTCTTCTATACAAATGTTTTTTGCTGCTTTGTTTTGTGTATATAGTGATCATTAAAACCCAAAACAGAAGGCCAAACAATATACAGAAAACCACGATGCAGTTACAAAACTCAAATCAAAATTCTACCTTTTCCTGGGTTATTTGGCTCTGAATAACCCGGCCCAGGAGCTACGCTTTTAGGCTGGCCTAAATCTATATATTA